AAAAAAAAAAAAAAAAAAAAAAAAAAAAAAAAAAAAAAAAAAAAAAAAAAAAAAAAAAAAAAAAAAAATCTTAATTATTTACGATATATGTTATATTAATAACTAAAATCTCTTAGAGCTCGAATATAAAACATTCACAAGTTACAACATTTGACTAACATTCGTTGCAAACATCAAATATTTTTAATTTTCATAATAATCTTAAAACGAGGGTAAGATTGAATTGTAATCCTATTTTCGACTTGGTCGAGTTGACCCAATTACAAAATATCAACCCATAAACCGACCCAATGTTTTGACCTTTAAAAAATTCAACTCAATCCACACTGAAAAAATCTAACCGAACCCCAATAATTTGGATTGAATAGTCCAGATCGATTAAGTTCTCGAGTTATTTGAACACCTATAGTTTTAAATGTATAAATAATTCATACGTTAAATAAAACAATATATATATATATATATATGTATATATATATATGAAAACATATATTAAAGAATTTACTAAAAATTCATATAATGTATAAACCATAGAATTTGAAAGGTATGAATAATTAATATATTCAGTTAATAAATAATATTTCATTTCCATAATTTTAGTTGCTTTTTATGTGAACGGGTTTTCAAGATTTTCAGTGAGGGTCTTCATGACAGATACTGCTCTGTGGCTTCTCCCGAGCTTCGAGAGTGAGACCGGCGAGACTCAGATCTGAATCCACCTCCAAAATCTCAAACTCCGTCCTGTCGTCCGCTTCCGGAGCAGTTTTCAGGTACTGTAAGCTTCTAATCTTTCTGAATTCTTGCTCCTTCCGCTTTCTCATTCACTTTCTGTGTTCAAATTGGTAATCCCTTGATTTTGATTACGATGGAACTTTTTTTTTAGTTTAATTTTCATCTGCTTTGTTATTGAGTTATATAATTGATTCGCGATTGTTTTCTAATTTAGTCTTGGACTGTTGATTTCCAGTGAACTTCGAATTTTGTTTGAAAATTTCTTATGTGGTTTAATCCGTTTATTTTATTCTTATGTCGTTTGAAATGGGGTTTTGAAAAAGAATTCTTATGATTTTTGAATATTTATGTCCGTTGATCCATGTCGATTAGATTCCTTCAAGAATTTAATTGATTCTGATTATTTAATGTCTACTTGGAAGTGGGTGATGGATTTTTGGTCAATTTATTAAGTTTCCTAAAGTGGTTTCTACTCATCTATGCTTGTGTGGGTCGGTATTGTTTCTCAACATTCATAGTGAATTTGCCTGGTTGATCGGAAAAATCGGTTAGGAATCGCGAACCTCCACAATGATATGATATTGTCCATTCTGAGCATAAGCTCTCATGGCTTTGCTTTGGGCTTCCCTAAAAGGCCTCATACCAATGGAGATGTATTCCTTACTTATAAATCCATGATCATTCCCTAAATTAGCTAACGTGGAACTCCCTCCCAACAATCCTCAATAATCCTCAATAATCCTCCCCTCGACCAAAGTATACTATAGAACCTCCCTTGAGGTCTATGGAGCCCTCAATCAGCCTCTCCTTAATCGAGGCTCAACTCCTTCTCTGAAGTTCTCGAACAAAGAACACCTTTTGTTCGATGCTTGAGTCACTTTGACTACATTTTCGAGGCTCACAACTTCTTTGTTCGACATTTGAGGATTCTATTGATATGGCTAAGTTTAGAGCATGAATTTGATACTGTGTTTGGAATCACAAACCTCCATAATGGTACAATATTGTCGACTTTGAGCATAAGCTCTCATGGCGATGTATTCCTTACTTATAAACCCATGATCATTTCCTAAATTAGCCAATGTGGGACTCCCTCCCAACCATCCTCAACAAAATCTTGAATTTTGAGAGCATTTGGCAATGCTTAGAGAGAGACAAAAATGACATCTAGCTAAAAAGACTCTAGCAAGTTTGACTGCACTGGTTTTTTTTTTTGTTAAGTAGCTAAGGCATAATGGCTACTAGAACTTATGATTACTACTTTTTTTAACTTGTGTGACTTGTGAGCTATTACTTTGTTACTACAAGAGCATCAGACAAGCATGTGTGTGAACAGTGCCTCTTTTTCTGATTTGGAGGTCTGAGATAAATAGGTGCACAAGTGAAAACATCTGCTTAGAAATGGTGTTATCAATTGTTGATAGAGAAGCGTGGCTTTGCAGGTTTCCTACTATCATAAAACCATGTCAAGGCGTCCAGTAAATCCTTCTCGACGTCTTGTTGATGGTGGGAGTCTTCCATTTGTTGGATCAATACATTCCAAGTCACGGTCATCGCCTTTGCTAACCATAGGGCTTGTTGTGGTACTTTTCTTTTCTAATCAAAGAAAGAAGAACACTATTCTTCATCATATTTTTAGCAACTAATTTAACTTTCTATGTTTAAAATTTTCAGGGAGCAATGCTTCTTATTGGATTTTGTTATCATCAATCAGGTCTTTATTTTATCTCTCATCTTGATTTATTTTTAATTAAGTCTCTCTCTATCGCTCCCAGCCACGATAATCGTCATTGTGTTTGTTCATCTGTTATAGGACATTCCTTCTCTATTCAGTTTAATAATTTTATGTTCACAGCCACTGAAATGCGAATCCTTTCTGAATTTTTCATCCCTCTGCCTACCTGTGCTACATTTTTGCATGCATCTTCCTCTCATTAACAGCTATTCTTTTTGGGATACAACACAAGCATGATTACTTATTATTACTGTCACTTCCATGTAACTCCCTACTCCATTTTTAAGTTTGACTATGGTATAGATGGTGGTTGACCCTGCTCATAATTTTTCATTGAACCTGCAACTTGATTCGCTCGATAGTTCTAGTTATTTAGAAGGATCTAATCTCTAACAACATTTCCTTTAGTTAGTTGGTAAAGAGACAAACCGCTAGCTCTAGCTGGACTTTTAGATTCATAGTTATGATGGATATCTCCTGCTAGTAACTGTATGAAACTGGTAGCAAAGAAGTAATAAAAAGGGTAAGGGTATGTTTTTGTTACTAACGGCTTGTGATGTTTCCTCTTTTCTTGATGTAATTACTATATTGGTTGCTTATTCATTGTCAATTTTCATGAAAGGTGGATCAAGGAGCAATATAGAGGCTGTGAGTAAAGTTGAAGGTGAATATATATTACTCTATCTATTCTCGAGTAAAAGTTTAGTTTCATCAAAAGTTTTAGACTGAAATGCAATTGATTATTGAAGGGGAGGTACTATAATTTGGTATTGTTCTTTTCTACTTTGATCAGGCTTTGTTCTAGTCAACATTATCTCATGGATGTTGTGCCTATATTATTGTACATCATGAAGTATAGTTGATAAACGATAGGACGGTCCCAGGGTTGTGTGTAGTGCCTTGGGTACCGGGGTTATCTTTTTATGGATAGGAAATAATTTCATTGATTATATGAAACGGTACGAAAAGAGCTAATCCATCCAAAGAGATTACAAAAAATTTCTCCAGTTGGATATGAGAGAATTCATGCAGAAGCTGTTTAAAGGAACAATAATTTTATACCAGTAAAGAGCCATAAAAGAGAGAGCTTCCTTTGTATTGAAAGATCATTGACTTCCTTTCATTCCAAATATTTCAAATACACGCATTCACACACATTTTGACACCCTCTGGCCTCTCACTCTCTACCGTAACTCCCTCTTGTGT